TAACGAGAGTTTGGACATCAGGAGAGAAGAGTGCAAGATGGCACACAAGACTGTGAGCCTGCGCAACAACGTGGATAGTGCGGTTGCCAAATGGGACAGAGATAAGAGAGGGAGGAACAGGAGCGAGCACAGCAGGAAAGATGAGAGGTTCCATTTCTGACACATTGATTTTGTGGACAGCTTAGTACAACTACAACCCCTGAAAACAACGTCTGTTGTTGGAGTACAATATATAGCAAAGGAGAGCATGGTGATTTAGGGTGGGCCTTATGGAGCTGAGGCCAAACAACAGGAAACACATTTTAACTGTCTCTGTGGTTCCTTTGCCCCAGTCACTCACCCAACTGACCATTTCAAAGGAGTTTCCCTTCCCTGCCCCTTTGGTGGAAGCAACTCCCCTTCTGGAACAATGATGGTTTATTCTTCATTCTTACTGGCCCCTGCAACTGCCAGTCAAACAGCGTGGGCAGGATTCCCTGAACAGAGTATGCCAGCAACACATCTACAACACTGGAGTACTGTGTGCCAAGTGGTAATTACACAGCTTTGCTATGTGGCCTTGGATGAGCCATGATGGCCAAGTAATTACACACAGGGAAATGTGCCTTTTACATTAACCCTTGAGGGCTACGAGTCAAGACTTGTTCACAATGTAATGGGATAATGAAGAGCAAATTACACATTGATGTCAGAGATTTAGACTCTTGATTCCAAGTTGTAAAGGACCAAACTGCAGATGTCTGCCTCCCCCTTTTCCTCCTAGCCCCCAGCCACATCTTTCATTTTAAATGAGATTTCATTCTATCAGAGTACAAAATGGGACACTATCATTAAACTGCACCAGTTTCCAGGGCAAACTCCCATTTTTATTCCATTGTTACTTTACATTTATTTACACAGTGTCTTTAATACAAAAGCAATAGCAAATGGTGATAGCTGGTTTTAAGCGCTTAAAGAGCTCTCCCAGGATTATAACTTTATACAACAGTGGAGGCAGGGGGCAGTTCGCTCAGGCACCTACAAAGGTGCCACGGGGTCTTTGATGTCTATGTAGTTATTTATATTGCACTCACCATCGTGACTGTCTGAACACTGAGTAATAATACATATCTCTGCCGTAGCACTCTTCATTGGTAGGTCTCACGGTGCTTTACAAAGGTCACAATCATTATCCCCATTTTACAGATGAGGTACAGAAAGGTGACGTGACTTGCCCAAGGTTTCCCAGCAAACCAGCAGCAGAGCTGAGACTAGAACCTAGGTCTCCCAGCTCTATCCACTAGGCCACACCGCCTCCCATAGTGTTAACACCCACAATGTTTACCAGACAGGACTGTTTTTACATTTCCATCCAACAGAGCCAGACATGGAAAACTGCCTGGTGCTCAATTTATCTAGTGAAGAAGAATTAAGGGTGATGGAATCTGGACTTCTGGTTCTAGGTATCACAAACACAGAGCCTGAGCCTATAAAGGGAGCCCTGGTTCAGAATACTTAGTGCTCCACTTCAAGGGCACCATTTGCTATGGGGAAAGAAGACAGCTTCCCCCCGCCCCCAGCACTGTGTTTGCCACTCCCCCCACACTTTTCATCTTTATCAGTGGTGGGCAACCTGCAGCCCGCCTGCAGCCCGTCAAGGTAATTCGCTGGCGGGCTGCAAGACAGTGTTTATATGACCGTCGGCAGGCACGACCGCCTGCAGCTCCCAGTGGCTGCGGTTCGCTGTTCCCAGCCAATGGGAGCTGCAGGAAGCGGCGGTCAGCACGTCCCTGCGGCCAGTGGTGAGCTGGAGCCGGTTTGCATCGGTTCGCACAAACAAGTTGTTAAATTTTGAAGCGGTTTTAGAACCGCTTGTTAACTGGCTTCCCTGCGAGGGAAGCTTTGATGGGCTCCGTCTGGGAAGCGTGTAATTCCTCCTCCCGGCCGCCGGGGGGCGCTGCGCTGAGGGAGCCACGTGGGCTGCCTCCTGGCCCTGTTGCTGCTGCTGCTGCTGCTGCTCCTCGGACCTCTGGCCCTGGGGCTTCTGCTGCTGCCTGGTGGGTCCCTGGCTGCTCTGTTGGGCTTGGCCTGCGTCCTGCTGCTCCGAGCTACTGTCCCTGTGTGAGTACCCACCACG